TCCAAGTGTCTTCTCTCTGGTGTGGCTGCTGGTTTTCTTCTCCAAAAGTCCTTTTTTGAACCCTCCCAACCGTATTTATAGTCTCCTCTTTAAACTCGTCAGTTTTAGGGCTTATGTGGCGGATTGGTGTCGTTGCAGCGCAGGGGCGCAAATCTTCTTTTGTTACTAGCACAGGAGTGCCATCTTTTACTACATTGATTTTAGATTTGTAGTTTTGTTACAGGATGCCAAAGTGAGAGGTTGTTAAGTTTTTAATGTAATTAGCAAATCTGTAAACAAATAGGTCTAGAATTAGTATGTTGTAAAAGTTAAAGAGTAAGTTGCAAATATTATAAATTGAGTTGTATTAGGTCTAGGGTTCGACAATGGAAAGAAGGAGAAACCGGCGCCGCAATTTCGCTAAACTGTCTCCCTAACTTTGCTTGAGCAGCAGAAACAGAAACATTGTTGTTCGCCTACCGCCTTGCCTTCGCTCGAGCATGCCCTTTCGCCCATGAGACGACCCGACCAATTTAAGACCATCCGTCTACCAGTTCTTCTTTGGGTTTGACTTACTGCGATTGGCTTGAACCCAGCATGTTGGCAGGATTATATAAAATAAATTTGTTTGCAAGTCAGGTCCAATTTAGTTGGTTAAGGAATTGCATATGTTTCTTTAATTTCAAAAACAAATTGTCAGCTAGGAATGGAAAGAAAACTGAAGAAAAGGTAAGTTAAAATAAATGTATTTATTAAATATTATTCCACTACTACTGGGTTTTTGAGGATAGATTGAGACGGAAATGAAGTGCTATGCGGATATATTTTTTCAATGTCTTTGAACTTGATTATGGATTTTAGAGAGAATTGCAAAGGTTTGTTTTTAGGGCCAGTTTTCAATTTTCTGTTATATATATGTTGATGTGTATTCTATGTAGTTTTTATCCTTTTTTTGTTGATTTAATACAGCCAGAGGAAGTGCTGGTGGTGGAGAATGTATAGTTCGTGGATAATACATAATCATCATCTGAAGTCCATTATGATATTCCATTATAATTAAGAATTGAACAAA